GCCTCGTGCAGGTACAGGGCAGCTGAAAAGGGGCCTAGAGAGTGCCCACGGGGGGAGAAGAGATCTTCGAGACCTGGGGAGGCCGAAGAGAGAGGACAAGGTGAGATCAAAGGGGCCCTCATGCTGCAAAGGCTGCATGAGGAATGAGACATGGGCCCAGCTCAGCCCCACTGACAGGGTCGTCCCTGCTTTCCCCGGCATCGGCCTTTATCTTCTCAGCACCTCTGCTGCCCAATGAAGACAGTCCACTTAACTGGCAGGATGCTGCCCCCTTCCAGAGGCCTGGTTGACACCCTCTGCCAGTTACCCAGCACCTGCCGCTGTGCAGCAGTGCCCAGGCCCAGACGCGAAATGCAGCACCAGTACAGATTCAAAGGAGAGAGTGGCTCCTTCCACCACCCGGCAAGTTCAGACACACTAATGAACCTTCTGGCAACAGAACAGAAAGACCGCCCCTTCCTCCTCCACACACACTTGGCCTCTCTTGGGCTCCTTTAGGGTGCTCTTTCCCAATTAACACTGGGCTCAGGTTGACTGCTGGGGAAGCCTGACACAGAACCGTGAGAAAGTCATGGGGCCTGCAAAATCTTCCAGAACCAGCCAGCCTCTGGATGCCTGGTGGGCCTGCCAGAGAACACTGGAGTCTCTGGCTCCTTTTTCTCAGCCTCTGGGCAGGAGAATCAAAGCCCTGTCCTAGGAGCTTCCAGAATCCCGGAACCCACGGACACCAGGAGCAGGGCCAGGCCTCTCTCGGCAGGCGGGGGCGTCTATGAGGCTGCCACCCTCGCCCTGCTTTTGACAGGCACTGAGAAAAGACAAAAAAGTGGGGAAATTCAACCCCAGCCCACGACGGCCAAGGCCTCTTATCACTGGGTGGGGCCCTGATGGCTTTAGGAGGAGGGTGTTGAGAAGAGGCAGGTTCTTCTCATCAGTGTCCCTGAATGTGGGAGAGGCAAGCTGGGGTCTTGGAGCTGCATGTCAGGCAGCCAGAGCCTGGCTGGGCCATCCCCAGCTGGGGAGGACAGGGTGTGGGGACAGCTGACTCCATAAGAGCCTCCCTCCTGCTCTGGCTTCGCCAAGATGCTCCAGGTCGGTGGGCAGACCTCTTTTACCTGTTTTCTCTACATTCATGGTGCCACCAGCTTCCTGGACCTCCCGGTCCCGCCTGGGGGCCGGCACCTGCCTCTTCAGGAGCTTCTCTTCTTTCGTCCCCTGACTCTTGCTCTTGCACCCTTTGTCCTGCACAGCCTGCTGCCAAGACACAACCAGAATCCTCACGTGAAGGGGACTGCACTGGGGAAGGACCCCCTTCAAGCCTGAGGACTCCAGGGCCCAGTGGGTCCAGACCTTCACTGTGTGGGTGGGGACAATGAGGCCTGGGGTCTGGAATAAAACATCCAGATCCAACAGCAAGACAGGAGTGATGTTTTCTCCAAGCCCCCTTGATGGCTGGCCCTCTGTACCAGCAAAGAACATTCTGAAGCACTTCAAGTCCTCAGTTGAAGCTCAGCCTACCCTGCAGGCTCCCAGGGGCAGGGCAGGGGCCACCTGCAGAGGAGTCTCATCCCTGCCCCATGGTACACAGGCAACGATCCAGCCCCACCACACACAGAGCAGCTCCGAGTGACTCCCCTGCAATGTCAGCTGCCGCCATTCCTAGGCATATGTATCTACCTCCAGGTGGCACCCCCAGGATGGCCAAGGAGGCTGCATACACATCCATCCAAGCAGGGGAAGGGCCATGACCCTGTCTCCTTTGCTCCTCTCACCACACGTGGCTATCCAGGGGCCATAGGACCCACCTCCTGGTCAAGGAGGAACACAGGCAAAGGAGGCCAAGGCAGACAGACCAGTGCCCAGGCAGGGAAGAGGGAAGAGAGGGCAGGAAGGGATGTCCAGAGAAAAGCACCTGCAGCTCACACAGAAAGATGCAAAGGTTCTAAGTGGCAGAACCTCTCGCAAGTGTACTTCTGGCTGACGGTAACAAAACAAAACAGGCTAAAGACGAATCCAGAGGTTGGGTAGACAGTGGGTGTCCCTAGGAGGGTAGGGTGGTAGCGTCATAGCTGACAGTAGAAACAAGCATCACACACTTTGAGGGAATAAAAAGAAACTTCACAACAGAGAGAATGTGGGAAGGGGCAAAGGAGGTGGCCTTACATTTCATTTTTAACCTCCTTGGCATTTGAATTTAATACCAACAGTGTTTTGTTTTACTTTTTTAATGTCAACAGAGGTTATCTGGCAGACAATTTTTGAGTGACTTCATGCCCTTTAAACTCAAAACAAGCAAAAAAAGGGATTATTTTCTAAATGCTCAGTCTAAAAAAAAAAAAACCCACCCTGTCTAGAGGCAGCAAGACCCGGAGTGAAGCCTGGCTCTGCCTCACGTAGCCTGTGTGACTGTGGGTCGGTTCCTTACCTTCCCTGAACCTGTGTTTTCTTCCTTCTTAAAACAGAAATAGTGACAACAGCCCCTGCCTCACGGAGCTTGTGAGAAGAGTAACCAAGAGAACTTAAGCCAAGGACACAGAAGGCGTCTGGCACATAGTAAGAGCTCGCTCTACAGGAGCTGTCATCATTACGTCATTCCTGCAATCTCCACACTTTTTTACCTTGATAATCAAGAAACCAACCAGGAGAATGAAAAAGAAGAGAAGAATGCCTCCCTGACCCGCCTTCTACTTGAGAAGCAGGAGCGGTGAGCACACCTCTAGCATTTAGGAAAATTCCCGCCGACTTTATTTTGTCCCCGCCCTGTGACTGACTGCCACACCATCACCAGCAGGCCTGTCAGTGGTGGTGGCAAGGGCAGCAGCTGGAAGTTTCCATTTGCCGACCAGAGCAAAGGTTACGCTATTTCTGGCTTGTTGGCCAAGCCACAGGAAGGGCAGACAGGCCCCCAGGGGGCTGGGAATTTCTGCAGCGCCTCCATGGGGAGAGTCCCTGGTTTTCATCACTGTATAGAGCCTGGGGATGGGGGGGTGGTGTCATTAAGTCCGCTGGGTCGCCTCACTGTGCTCGGGACCCGCTCCAGCCCCACATCCATGACCCTGAGTACCTAGACACACAACAGAGCTGCAGGAGGGCTTGGATAGTCATGAATGTGGAGGCTGGCCGCTGACAGCAGCCTCTCTGAGATCCTCAGAATATGTGCTGACCCCAAGACCGGGCTGCAACCACAACTCAGCACCCCGTAATCAAAACTCAGGAACAGAGCCACCACCCAACTCGAGGCTGTGGGGTTTCTGACCGCCACCTCCCGATTTAACTACCACTGGCTCAAGTCAGTGCAAAGAACAAGCATCTGGTTTCGTTAACCATTCTCTCACCAGACCCGCTTTTCTTGCAGACCTTAAAAGAAGATAAAAGAAGGACCGTTTGGTTCAGTTTTCAGGGGGTACCACATGAGAAGGCCAAGGAACAACTCAAAACACAAGATGGTCCCTGAAGCAAAGTCAACCCCTAGACCCATGTTCAGATCAGGGGCTGGGGTGACATGCCACCCAGGGCTAGCACATGGGTACTCGAAGGGCATCAGTGGTCCCTGCACCCCATCCTGCCTGCCATGTGGAAGTGTTCCTCCAGGCTCTGTACAAATGTGGCTCCAGAAAGGGTAGAATCAGTGTGTCAGGAGAACATGAGGGAGTACCGGGCCCTCTTAGGCACCAGCTTTCTTGGGAGGCCAAGGCAAACACCCTCAAATAAGAGTACTCTGGCATTCATCCTCTGCCACTGTGTGTGTGTGGCCCTTGGCTGACTTGTATCACACATCATGTGATGTGCTCACATCACGCTCTCTGGTGCCTCCACTAGACTCTCACGTCTCTCTCTTGTCTTCACTTCATCCCTGCCCTTGGCTTAGATGGGCACACAGGAGGCGCTTCCTAAATATCTGTTGAATGGGTGTGTCAATTACAGATGGGCAGAGCCTGCATTGCCCTGAAATACTCAAAGTTATCACCGCATGAACACACAAACATTTGTTTAAGGAGCTCACTGTAAACAGAAACAATAAGAGGATCAGTTAAATGATCATGTATGGTAAACCCGGAAGTAGAATATTATGCAGCAGTCTAAACCAGGAGTAGTTCCCCATATGTTGACAGACATGAAGCGATCACTAAGGCTTACTGCTGAGGAAAAGAGCTAGTCACAGAATGGCATGTGAAAATAAATAACAAAAATCACAGCCATTACTACTGTTATCATCATTTACTGTTTCTATCACCAAACATACACTTATATGTAAAGGTCATCTTTTTTTTTTTTTTGAGTCAGAGTCTCACTCTGTCACCTAGGCTGGAGTGCAGTGGCACACTCACAGCCATCGCAGCCTCGACCTTTGGGGCTCAGGTGATCCTTCCACCTCAGCCTTCCAAGAAGCTGCAACCACAGGTGTGTGCCACCACACCCAGCTAATTTTTTTTTTTTTTTTTATTGTAGAGACACAGTCTGGCCAAGTTGCCCAGGCTGGTCTTGAACCCCTGGACTCAGGCAATCCTCTCACCTTGGCCTCCCAAAGTGCTGAGATTTCAGGTGTGAGCCACCACACCTGGTAAAAGGTCATCTTTTTAGTCACTTGGCGATAACGGCAAGGAAACAGAGCCCATACTTTCGCAAAGCTCTGGATTCTCATTTCAAACAAGGAAATACACATGTTGCCCCCACAGACTCCCATGCCCACGAGGGAGACCTGCCTGTTTTCCCAATACTGTCTCCAGGCTCTGCACATCTCAGCGATGGCTTCACACTTATACTTAACACCTCAGCCAGGGCGTGGTTGAAAAGCTTCTGTCACCTTCTGTGATATCGTCCTGAGATCACTTAATACACAAACTGCTGTGTCCACACAGGCTCACAGACGGCTGGAACACGTGGGGCTTGGCAGAGAGGCCGAAGCGGGTCCCTTGGCCTCCCTGGGTGTATCCTCCCCAGGAGCCCAGCTGCTGGAGCTCAAGGACCCAGGTACATCTGACCCAGAATGCCCCAGTGCTTACCTGCAGGGTCAGGTAGAGCCCGTGGGGGCTCCCGGGGCCAGCCCAGTCCACACTGAGAGCTCGGCACTGGGCTAGGGCTGGGCGGGCTGCACCTCGGGCGCCGGAGTCCTCATCACCGCACACCAGGGTGTCCTTTCCACGCCCTGTCCCAAAACAGAGAGAAAGGTGAGACCTCTGACTGCTGGCCGTAACCACTGGCCCAGGCCGCGGTCGAACTCAGCTCTCATAGACTCGCGTTGACCCAGGCGTGGTCAGGAGGAACTCACAGGTCACCCCACTCAGAGGGGAAGGCCTGGCACGGGACAGGGCCTACCCTCCTTCCTTACCAGGAGCCGCCCAAGATCCTCTTCCGGAGAGGGCTCCCCTCTTCCCACAGTGGCTTTGGGGCTGGCACATGCTTAACAGAGCAGCAGAAAGAAGCCCGGTGCTGATGGCTAGGGCCATGGCTTTATTACCCCAGCTGCCTCTAGGTGGCAATTTCTCCCCTGTCTTCATTAAGACCAAACCCACACCGGTGGTCTGGTCTTTGCCTAGATACACACTCCCAGTGGGAGACAGGGCCGACTCTGGCACCGACCCGTCCTCCACCCACCTCCACCCCCCACCACAGCCTGCGGGGCTGAACGGAGTGGGACAGGGGCTTGCCTCACAGGAACACAATGTAGAGCTGCCACCCTGGGACGTCACAATATCCAGAGTACTGGCCACTGGGCCAAGGGCTTTCCAGGCCTTATGGCCCTTCGTGAGCCTCACACAGATAGCACCCACAGACACAGGCCTCAGGACCACAACTGCAATTGCACCTCACAACCCTCAGGAAGGTGGGTGCGTTCTCCCCACCTGACAGGCAAAGAACCGGAGGCCCAAAGTGTTCACCAAGTGCCCTGGTCACATGGCCGGTATTCAGATCCCACATGCGAGCCAAGCCCCTGCCAGCCGACTACTCCCAGAGTGGCATTGAGGGGACCAGCGGGGGCTCCGAGGGCCTGGGGTGGCTGGGCCGGCTGAGCCCCAGCCTGGAGGCAGGCCTCTTCCTTGCATTTCACACACAGGATTTCATCTGACCTTTATCTCAAATTTTCTAAGTGGATAAAAGTCTGTGTGGCCATATAATCTTCATAATACCCATTTTTTCCCTTCAGGTTAGAAAGCTGAGAACACAATACTTAATAGCCTACACACACATACTTAGCGCACACACACACACACACACACCCACACACACATACCACACACACACACACACACACACACACACACACACACACACACACACACATACACACACACAGGACTAGAAGGTGCTATATGAGAGGTACAGTGGTTCAGTAACTAGCTTATAGTGATTACTTTTATTTTCTTTTTTCTACTTTTCTGTGTGTGTGTGTGTGTGTGTTAGTTTTCCAGGGGAAAATTCTTTTGTTTCATCATAAAAGCAATACTCACTCATATGACATTTGTAACCCCAAGGACAACCTTGTGGGGTGCAGACCACCTTCTGCCCCTTTCAGACATCTACCCGACCCAAAAGCCCAGGCTCTTCTGGGAGGCCCGCAGGTTATCCCCAGCCCAGCCGTGCCGCTTGGGAGCGGCCAGCCCCAGGCAACCACAGAAGCAGAAAACTTGGAAGGCATCACTCTGGCTGCCTCTGACAGCACAAATGCAGGAGAGAGGGATTAACAAGAGCTTGCTGTGTATCCTCTCTGGGCCTCAGTTTACCCTTCTGTACATCGACAGGCTTGGACCTGACGGCCCACAGGGACTCTGCCAGCTCTGACAGGCTGGTAATCTAAACCCCTGAAACTCGGGAGTGACAGCAAACCCCTGAAGTCACTTTGCCTGGAGAGCCCTCTCCCCTGACACCACCAGGGCCACTTGCCCATGCCTGGGGAAAGGATCACGGGCATCTCCCAGCCCCGACCAACTAGCCCCCAGCCAGAATCAGGGAGCCGCTCACTTTTCAACATTGGCAGCACCAAGAGACATGACCCAGAAAGGCAAGCCAGCACTGACAGCTCCCAGGGGACAGTGGGGGCCCAGAAACCAGGACCCCTTCACTGCCCACCTGCTGTCAGGATCTCTACAGAAGCACCTAAAACTGAGCACGTGGTCCCCCAAAGCCTGCCAGGCCACGTGCCAGAGCTGCCTCAGTCCACTCCTCACGCCATCCAGGGGCCAGCCCAGGTGGGATCGAGTGTCAGTGGCACCGGGCATGGGCAGCCACCTCACCTACCTTGTTTACCAGTCGGGCAGGGACCGGAGGAAGCCCAGGCGCTCACAGCCAAGGGCTGGCACACCACGGAGCTCTGGCCAGCCGGGCTAGAGGGGACGCAGCTGTCCCCAGCTCCAGGCCTGCGTTCAAGCTTAACCTGGCTTCCAAGCTGCCTCTTCCCAGGCAGGGCGCAGCAAGGAGCCCAGGAGACGCGCTCCGACTCCACGCCCGCCCGGCTCTGGGGCTGTCGGTTACCCTGTAATTACCTGACAGCTCTGACTGGGTTTAGGAACCGGTGAGAAACCTCAGTCTCATCTCTGGTATCTGGAGGAAGGAAGGGAAATAAAGAGGCATTTTAAAAATGCGGACTCACCAGTTCTCAACCTCCCTGGGCCGGTGTGTGGGAAAGGGCGGGCAGCCGGGCTGGCTGGGGCGGGGCGAGCCATCCCCGGCTGGGGCTCCCGGGCCCGGCCCACTCTCCACAGGCCCCGCAGTGAGGGCGTGGCTCCCAGGTTCCACGTCCTGCGAGAGGGGACCATGGCCCGGGGCTCAGCAGCCTCCTCGGGGTGCCGGGCAGCCTGCAGAGAAAACAAGGAGAGACGGGCTTGAAGACCGACCAGCATCTTGGGGCAGAGTCGGCCATCTAGAAGGGTCTGTGTGCCACGGGTCAACTGGGGCCCAGGGCAGCAGCCCCAAACGCAGTGTCCCCCAAGGACCGCCAAATTCATAGGATAGAATGGGGCCTGTCACCATTTGGAGATGTTTGTGACTGAATAAGGAGGCTCAGAAGTGGGCAAGGAACATGTCAGGTGTGCCTGGGACACACTGTGGAGACCCCACACCTGAGCCCTTCCACACTGAGCCTGGCAGCATGAAGACAAGCCAGGTCACAGCCCCATACAGAGGAAGCACCGCCAGCCAGCAGCATCTCAGTAAGTCTAATCCTTTTCTCTCCAAGACATCTAATTTTCTAATTGCACTTAACCACATGCTTAACCCTTAGGCTTCAGGTCCCTCAGCCCAAGGCCTGTCAGCCAAGCAGCTAATGTTCTGAATATTAACATTTCATGGAGGAGGGCTCAGAAGGGCTAGTAACAAGTTGGTTTTATTTTTATTTTTATTTTTTTATTTTATTTTATTTTATTTTGAGTTGGAGTCTCACTCTGTCGCCCAGACTGGAGTGCAGTGCCGCTCACGGCCACCGCAGCCTCAACCTGCTGGGTTCCGGCGATCCTTCCGCCTCAGCCTTCTGAGTAGCTGGAATTACAGGTGCGTGCTACCACGCCCAGCTAATTTTTGATTTATTGTAGAGATGAGGTCTCGCTGCCCAGGTGGGTCTCGAACCCGCGGGCTCAGGCAATCCACTCACCTCAGCCTCCCAAAGGCGCAGAATTACAGGCTGAGCCACCAAGCCCGGTTCAAGTTGGTTTTATGTTCAGCAAGTTCACATGTGTATATTCAACTAGAATTCGCTCTGTGCCTAGCATGGGGCAGGCACCGTGCTAGGTGTTCAGACACAGATTCACCCGTCTTCATTTAATAATTACCCATTGATTGCCTACTAGGTTCCAGGCATCTGCCAAGGGTCCCCTTTGATCAAGAGAGATGTGGTCTGAACGTTCTTGGTCAGAAGGGAGATAAATATTTTAAACACCCCTCACAGTCTGACCAGGATACAGGGACACTGGAGGCACATGCCAGGTACCAGGTGCTGTGGAGAATGGGGGGTGGGGAGTATTGGCCAGGGACAGAAAGCCCAAGAGGCCCCTCACAAACTGAACAAATGAACAAAGTTCAAGCACTTGCTGCACAAGTCTTTCTTCAGTTGGAGTCTCACTCTGTCGACCAGACTGGAGTGCAGTGGCCGCTCCCAGTCACCGCAGCCTCGACCTGCTGGGCTCCGGTGATCCTTCCGCTCAGCCTTCCAAGTAGCTGGAACTACAGGCGCGCGCTACCATGCCTGGCTGATTTTTTATTTATTGTAGAGATGAGGTCTCACCAAGTTGCCCAGGTGGGTCTCGAACCCACAGGCTCAGGCAATCCACTCACCTCAGCCTCCCAAAGCACGAGATTACAGGCTGAGCCACTGAGCCCAGCTAGACTTTTTTTTTTTAAGTTGGAGTCTCACTCTGTCACCCAGGCTGGAGTACAGTGGCATAATCACAGTTCACGTCTGCCTTGACCTCCTGGGCTCAGGTGATCCCTCCACCTCAGCCTCCTGAGTAGGTGGGACTGCAAGCATGTGCCACCATGCCTGGCTAATTTTTTGAAGAGACAAGATCTCACTATGTTGCCTAGGCTGGTTTCGAACACCTGAGCTCAAGCAATCCTCCCACCTCTGCCTCCCAAAGTGCTGGGATTAGAGGTGTGAGCCACCACGCCAAGCCAACACAAATCTTTACTGTGCACCTACTGTGTGCCAAGGAGCCCTGAGGGCATTTAAGGTGATCAAGTTACAGTTCAAGACTCAGACAGTGATACCATTTATAGAAAAAGTGAAGTCAGCTTGGAGAGGCAATGTGAGGTTTGCCTTTGGTTTTAAGATTGAGTTGGGGGTACCAGAGGGACTTCCAAGCGGAGCACCTGGGCTGTAAATCTCCTTCCCCATCCTGCTGCAGTCAAGACCCACATCTGAATGGTGTCCACCTCCCTTGGCCCAATCGGGCTCCCTGAAGGCAGCGCTCACATAACACGTACATCTCTGCAGCCCAGAGCACCCAGCCAGGAGCTGTGCCCACACCAAGCACTCTGCGATGGCCTGTTGGGTGAATGTCCTGAAACAAACACACACAAAAGCCTGGACTGAAGCCTGGAAGAGAGGTTGGGGCTGGACACCGAGACACAGAGCTAAATAAGAATGCCGATACCACAGGTGAGGACGCAGTCACCAGAGGCTGAGCAAGAGGAAAGACAGCTAGGTGAGGACAGGGTTTGCCCTGAGGGTGGGGAGGAGAAATCAGAGAGGTGGCAGGAGCATCAGGCATATGCATAGTCCTCAGAAGTAACCGAAGACCAAGTGGGAAGGAGAGGATGGCTGGTTCCAGTGTGCCATGCCACAGAGATGGAGAACTGGAAGAGGTGAGACAGGCAGAAAGCCCTGGGGGCTCCGAGGGCGACAGCAGAGGGCAGGCTAGGAAAGGCTCCAGGAGTGGGCTGAGCATGAAAGCAAGCAGCTACCTCCTTCTCTTGGGGGACGTTTGGCTAGGATGGGAAGGAGAGGGCTTGGTGTTTAGAACAGGAGAGAATGGAACATGTTAGGGAGACAGAGGGGCAGAAATGACTGAAGCATTGAGAGGGAAAATAATAAGAGTCCAGGGGTGGGGGGCCTGGAGCCCTGGAACCCAATGTTTGCAGAGCCGTGCCTTGGAAGAATGCCAGGCTCCTGGTGAGAGAGTCGCAGTCTCCTCCTTCCTTGACTCAGGAAGAACTTCAGGAGGAGGAGGCTCTTATAGGTGCAGTCCTGCTGGGAAGGGGACAGGAATGTGTGCCAAAGGACAGGGCAGAGGCTCATTCAAATACATGGGCTGGCTCCACTGGAGGAACCAAGAGGGACAGTGTGGCGTGGAAGGAACCGTGGGAGAGCAGCCAAACGTCGTCTTCTCCAGGCTGCTTGGCACAGAGGTGGGCACACAACCAACCCTGCAGACCCACTACCCAATGGACAGGGAAGGAGAAAGACAGGTCCATCTGAGTGCCCAGCTGCTCGAAGGTGAGACGGTGCAGGGCACGGGCTGTCTTTATGGCCACCTCCAGTGAAGACTTTCAGAGAGATCAGCTACGTCCCAAGGGCAGGCCCAGGAGAGTGTATTTTTGTGGCTATCAGGAAGGGAAGTTGGGGAGGCAGCCAGGAAGATGTCAGGAAGAAGGAGGAAGGGTGTGTGCCAGAGCCCAAGGAGGAAAAGCAGCCGAATTTAGCAGTCGGAGGGAAGTGAAGGTCAAGGCATCGCAAATAAGCTCAGGGTTCTGGGCCAAGAAAGGAGCACTCGCTCTCGTTTGCGTGGGCATTTGAAATGCAACCTGCTGTCCCAGCACTTCTATCAACCTAGGATTCGTGGGCTGGGGCAGTGAGGCTTGTTCAGAACCTGGCTCCACTGCTTACTAGATGTGTGGCCTTGGGAGACTGACTTTGCCTCTCTTTTTTTTTTTAAGTTGGAGTCTCATTCTGTCACCCAGGCTGTCCCTCATTATCTCCATCTATAAAATGGGGAGAACCCTGTCTTCCAGGGTTGGTGTAAAGATAAGACAATGCAAAGTGGTCAGAACAATACTGGCATAGACAAAGAGCTCAAAAATTTTATTTTTCAATGACTTCCCTCCAGTGGTGGGTGAATGCAGAGGAGCTGGCTGAAGGAAAGGGTATCTACCTCTCCGGGTCAGAGTTGCAGCCCTGCCCACTAGCCCCAGACCAAGGACACCGCAAAGCTTGGTGGACAGACTTGACAGCTGCCTGAAAACTGCAGCTGGAGAGGGCTTGGTAGCCCGGGGAAGCAGGCAGAAGGTCGGGGAGGTTGGACAGGGGCTGGGACCTCCCTTGCACACCATCATACATCCTGGGTTTTCCAGGGCAACCCAGATTTCAAACCCTCTACTCCCTGGTGCCCAGATGAACAGCCAAAATCACCACCCTGTGCCACTAAGGTCCAGTCGCCGAAAATACAAGGCCCCATTCTGAGGCCGCATTCCTAGCAAATGACTCTCCCTGGCCAAGGAGACGGCTACTTTATCAAGGGCATGGGGACTACTTTGGGGCAAGAATGGGCGCTCACCCTGCTGCAGGCAGAGGGACAGTCAAGGAAGGTGAATGGCAGGGGTAGCCATAACCCCCCACCTTGGGACAGATGTCCTGGAGGAGGGAGGAGGGAGGCGGCAAGCAGTACTTGAGAATTTAAACACAGCTTCCTCTTTAAAATCTTCCAGTACCAGGCCCTTCACTGCGCCAGCCAGAGTTCTGCTCTAACTCGCAATGTGGCGTTCAAGGGGATGGCTTCTGAGCTCACCCTCCCTGCTGAGAACCCCCAGCTGCGGCTGTCAGTGGCCCGATTCCTCAGTGCTCGAGGGCACCGGCCAAGGCCCTCCCTCCTAACCTCGGAGCTGGCGCACCCCACCCCTGGCCCTGCCGGGGGAAAGCCAGGTGCCC